GGGCTGCCACAAAGAGGAGGGGATCAATTTATTTTCCAAAGCCCCAGAAGGCGAGACAAGAAACAATGGGTGGAAACTAATCAAGGAGATATGTGCGTCTTATGGTCAGGTGCGTCTTATAGAGCGAAAAATACGGTATGTATTTATTGCCCAATTCTGTTATAAATAAATTTGTATATATTGAATATTTAAGATTGATATCTGCTATGACTTAAAGTTGCTTCTTTGTAACTTAAAGATATTATGTCAACAACAGTCCTGTGTGACTAATTCAGGCAAGATTATAAGAATTCTGGTTTATTCAGATTAAGTATAATGGTAAATGCTTCCTGATTGATAGTGTTTAATTGTTAAATCAGGAAACCTCTTCCTGCAAGTTCTTTTAGTGTTATATCTGAATTTGTAGCCTTAGTTTGATTTTCTCAAAGCCAGAATCATTACATATAATTTATTTTAGGTTGGTAAGATTTTAGATGATTAGGGAGAAATAACCCTAAGGTCATAATTCAGACATAATATGACAAACCAATTGGGAGCAATTGAAAGGCATATATCAGAATTTAGCTCAATAAGCCAACATTCTAAAAAATATTGGTTTTGTTCTATTATTGTCTCTTTCCTGGGCATAAACATTGTATTTTTATTTTCTTATGTTAGGAAAAAAACTCTAAATATTATAACTACACACTTTCAGTAAATGGAAAAGCACGTAGGCATGGTGCGAACTACAGCATGGATTACCTGACAGATGTACTGGTAAGAATTTTTCAACTAGTTTTAGCATGTTTATTTGTTCTAGTAGCATACTGAATACCCATAAAATGGTAACAAATTTGTTATGGATTGTTAACAGATTTCAGTGTAGTAGATTATACTGTAGTCCCTCTAATGTTATGCCATAATCCAGTTATCTAAGTTAAAATGATGCAAAACATTGTTTTGCTATACAGTCCTAATGCAGCTATCGGTCTGGAAATAACATATTGCTCAAACTGTTCACAGTATGATGATAAGAATGAAATCCTACAAATAAAATCCTAACTCTTAAGTGCATGTCTCATTGTGCTTATGAAATTATTCAGGAGACGAATTTGCTCCACATCTCCTTGTAGTTCCTAGTTTTCTATGCTATTATTTTTTTCGGATATCAAGGCATTCCTGATTCTTCCCAAGGTTATCCTCATCATCACTTTATTGCAGTTTTATATCCAGGATCCATAGGATTGTATCTCTTCTTTACACAATTTAATCCTTGAATTACTATATCTGAAGATCAGGAGTTTTGCCTTGCAATGTTTTATTTATTTCTTAGTTTGAAAGCTAAACACAAGACATTTAAAATAAATGTAATGGTTTGTGAATTTGAAGTATTCTCTTAGAGACACCTGTTTCTGATTCAGTATAATAATGAGTAAATAAATTAATAAGCATCTGCTTTCAGGCTAATATGTCCTTGGATTTTCTGGAATATAAATCCAGCTTTGAGCCATTTTTCATGATGATAGCAACTCCAGCATCGCATTCACCTTGGATAGCTGCTCCACAGTACAAGAAGAATTTTGAGAATGTCAGTGCTCCAAGAAATAATAACTTCAATATCCATGGAAAGGTATAGATTCTGGATCTTTTACAGATACTGTTAGTATTTGCTAGATATTTTTAATAAATCTCTGCTTTAATTTCATGACCTTAGAATATATGTAGCAACAAATATATGTAATACCAAAACTCTTTTTTTAATTCTTAGGTTTTGTTTACACTAGATATTCTCCCACTAGAATATTACATGTTTTTGTCACTTCATTTCATTTTTTGCCACCTGATGCATATGACTCTCTCTATACTTTGTTCTTTTGACTAATTTATTTTTAATAACTTTGACTACATCCTTTTACCTAGCATTCTGACACAGATTTGTTAATCTATATCCAAAGCATCTGCGGTGATCTTGGAGCCCAGGAAAATAAAATCTATCACTACCTCCATTTCTTCCCCATCTATTTGCCAGGAATTGAGAGGGCCAGATGTCATGATTTTGGTTTTCTTTTTTTTTGTTTTAAATTTTTTTATTAATTTCAAAATAACCCCCCCCATACAAATATAAACATACATTGATACGACTTCAGTATTATTAATTTTAACATTCAAACGTAAACATATATTAGTATTACAAAGCAGCCCGGCAACACCCCCTCCCTGCGTCCACCCTCTTTTCTCCTCCAACTTCCCTACACATCCCCCCTCCTTCCCTCTCCTCTTCCTATGGACACGGTTTAGAGCGCTAGCCGAGCGTCAGCTCGGCAGCACCCCCTCCCCGCATCCGCCCTCTTTTCTACTACCTACCTACTTCCCTCCTCTCTCTTCTCCTCTTCCTCTCCCTCCCTTTGGACACGGTTTAGGGGTGTTAACCGAGCGCCTTCCATATTTCTCCATACATCAATACTCCTAATTTAATACTCATTTCTACATTAATACTCTTAA